CTTCTGTGTTGATCCTCTTGTGTCTGTTTTACCTGCTCCTCTGTGTTTCTCCTCAGCCCCGCCCACTCCTGCTCATCTCACAGGTGTTTGGCATTTGAGTTAATTAGTCTCTCTCTCTCTCTCTCTCTCTCTCTCTCTCTCTCTCTCTCTCTCTCTCTCTCTCTTGTATTACATAAAAGTATTTTACTTTACTGTGCTTCTGGGTTCTGTCTCTAGCAAACCTGAAAAAAACTAAATGAAAGATAAAATTTGGCGCTCCAAATGTTCCACATTAGAAACAATCCATTTCTCAAACAGATTTTATTAACATTTTATCCTCTGAAATATTGTCCAGCAGTAACAGATCTCATCATTTAAAAGTTACAAAGCAGTGATAGTGTTGATCTCTGAGAAGATTCATGAGTCTTTTTCACATTGATCCTAATAATGGCGCTTTAAGCGTTGACGTTCTGTTTGTAACACAATCAGCTGGTGATGTGGCACAACAGAGACGTACCGATGCTCTTGATTAAACTGGACCGTAGGTAGCTGGCTGTCATGCTAAGAACACAGTGTGAAAAGGAGTTAGAAAAGTTTGTCTCACCTCTGATCTTTGCTCTGGCCTTCATGTCCTCCACACAGAGTGGTCTCAGAGGGAGGGACTCCCTCCTCTCTGTCCTCACACTGATCCATGCTGCTGGAGTCACCTCCACATCAGCTCACACACTTTCTACCTCCACCTGCAGAGGAAACACTAAAAGTTCATCTTCACATCAGCTCCAATCAGCCTTTCAATCGTTTGTGCTGTAAAAAAAGATCAGCTGCTCCTCCTCTGGTTAGTTCTTTCTTTATCACAGTGTCAGATAACGCAGATAAAATGTCTAAATATTTGCTTTAATTACAACATAATCAAATGTAACTTTCAAATACAAGAAACAAAATGTGACAAAAAATGATTATCGGAGAGCAGAAGCAAACAGAAAAGGCATGAAACAACACAAACTTACAGCTTGTTCAACCAGTCCAAAGAGCTGAAAAAGAAAAGGACACTTTCAGAGTGGGAACAGCTCCAGTCATGGGAACAGCTCCAGTCATGGGAACGACCACAGCGCTGTTTGAGTTGTTTCAGTTTCTGTTTGCAACTTCTTCTTTCGTTGGTGCACAAATCTTTCTCTGCTCTTGATTCATTACATTTACAGTAGTAATAGTTGGAAATTGGTGAATATTTGATATTTGCTTGGAAGAAATATCAGTGCTTATGGAGGTTTGGGAAAGATTTAAGCTCTGAGATCAAACAGATCAAAACATTTCTCATAAAATGGGATTCATTTCAAGAGAACTCTCCAGGTTYAGAAGGAAAATGTGGATGATTGAAATAGATCTCCTGCTTACGCCTTCATAGGAAGAAATGGATTGATAGTTTTGTCTTCTTGGTGAATCACTTTACATGTTCAGAAGCTTCAATGTTTTTTTTATCTTTAATATGTTTAAATGGAAATATTATGTAGATTCTGAATAAATCTACAAATCTAAGCACTTTTGTCAATAAAAATGTTGCCAGAGTTTTATTTAGAGTTCTTCTCCGTGTAACTTGGATGTTGGTAAAGTTGTTCCAAGAATCTTCTGGACCACACAAAAAATAAAACTGATGCACATTCCAAAGTGTCATTAATAACATATAAAGAAAAAAAAACAGCAGCTGCAAGACAAGTGTTCAAAACACAAATGGTACATTTTATGGACTCCTGTTAAACACATGTGGTCAGTACATACTGTAGTGTTCAACCATAAAGCAGAAGGGAGAAGTAAAACTGACAGGGTTGAAGTTTTTTTTTTTTTTACAATCATCGTATTTTGTCTGTAGAAATAGGAAACAAATTGGGAAGAGTTATTTTAAATGATAAAAGATGTWATGTTGAACAGATGAAACAGTTTTATTTTGAAGTTTATGAGTGTAAATGGGCAGTTTGTATTTTACATAAATCAGTATTTTAATAAAGGATGCTTATTGCATTATGGAACTTATCTAAACAACAAAGGTCCATGTGTGCCTAATTTAGATTTGGTGTTTTGCCTTTGGCTTTGGAGACAGGACGTTTTCGTTCAGTCCCAGAGGATGACCGAAGATGTTCTTTGTGTGATTTGGAGGAAATTGAGAGTGAAGTGCACTTTTTGTTTTACTTCCTTTGTATTTGATTTTGAGAAATTAATTATTTAGTAAAGTTCTTGATGTTTATCCAGAGGCGTCACTAGGCCTATTTTAGGGGGGCTGGAGCCCCCTAAAGTATTTTGG